GGCTGGCTTTGGATCCTCCTGCCTCAGCCTCCCTAACTGCTAGGACTACAGGTGTGTACCAAGGCGCCCAGCTGTACTACATTCTTGTCAATGTAAAAGTAAATTCCATTCTGCCCAGAGAATCCCAGAACGCAGCAGGATCAGCTTTTTCTAAATGTAAAGAAGGATGTGCAAAAGCAGTTTAGGCCCTTACAGAGCCAGTGTGCTTAAAGACAGGACATTGTTGCAAATTGAGCTGGAGCCTTTGCAGGCCTGAGCTCAGTGATGATGGAATAAATATTCAATTTTCCATTTAGAGTTCCTAATAAATCCTTTACACACTGGGCCAATGCTTTGGGTTTCCTAATCTGAAAAAAATGCACTGATCACATTTGGTGTTGTTGAAATTACAACTAGCTCTTGCTGAGCATGTTAGGACATAGGCAGTGAGGGAGGTCCTTCATACATTCCCTCCAGCACTGGGATGGTGGCATCATTGTTGTACAGATGAGAAAACTAAGGCTCAGATAGGTTGTCTGGTCTGCTAAATACAGTCATGCTGCACCAAAATTGCAAATCCCTGGCAGAAAACCATTACAGTAATGAAATCTCTATTTCCCGTGATGTGGCAATCTACTTTTTCCTAAGAAATAATTCCAAAGGAACCAGAATATTAGAAATAGAAATAACATAAAAGGAATGACAGCAGGATAGGCAGTGGCACATAACTGTAATCCTAGTGGCTCAGGAGGCTTAGGCAGGAGGATCATTGAGTTGAAAGCCAGCCTGAGCAACTTAGCAAGGTCCTAAGCAACTTAGTGAGAACTTGTTTCAAAATTAAAAGGGGAAAAAGGTCTGTGGAATGTGGCTCAGTGGTCAAGTGCCCCTGGGTTCAATCCCTGGTACAAAAAAAAAAAAATGGGTGAGGGTTGGGGAATGAGAGAGACCAAGCTTGATGGTGCATACCCCAGTGACTTAGGAGGCTGAGGCAGGAGGATTGCAAGTTCCAGATCAGGCTGGACAATTCAGCAGACCCTGTATAAAAATAAAAAAGACTAGTGATGTAGCTCAGTGGTAAAGCACATCTGGGTTCAATCCCCAGTACCTAAACAAATAACCGAGCCTACAGACCTGTGGAACAAAAGAGCCAACATTCCTATCATGGAGTCCCAGATAGAGAAGAGAGTTGGGCAGAAAAAAAAAATGATCAAGAAATGGCAAAAAAAAAAAAAAAAAAAGAAGGGAGAAAAAAAAAAAAAAACAAAAAACAAAAAAAAAAAAAAAAAAAAAAGCTTGGTGGAAGACACAAATCTACAAGATCCCAGATGAAATGTACTAACATTTCAATAATTACTTCAATGTAAATGCTGCATATACACCAAAAGACAGATTGGTCAGACGCAGTGCACACTCCTGAAACCCTAGCTACTCATGAGGATAAGGCAGGATTCCAAGGTCCAACCAGCCTCAGCAAGTTAGTGAGACCCTGTCTCAAGATACAAAAAAATAAAAAGGGCCACAATTTAGTTCAGTAAAAGTGCTCCAGGCTCAATCCCCAGAACCTACCCCCATACATGCCTATTACTGAATAATATGCTGCTCATAAAAAACTTACTTCAAATTCAATATAGGTAGGTTGAAAGTAAAAGAACAGACTATATACCTTGCAAACATTCATTTTCTAAAAAGAACTACATTAATAGCTGATCAAGTAGCCTGTGGAGTGAAAAAAAGGACTAGAGATAAGAGACATTATGTAAGGATAGCTCGGTCGGTCAGTCCACCAGAAAGATGTCAAAAACCAGAGACCAGAAACAAAAACTGGTAGGAGTAATAAACAAATTCAGTTACAATTTGGGACTTCCATACCTCCCATTCAGCAACCGATGAAACTAGAGATCTAAATAGCAGTAGAAAACACTTTTTTTTTTGCTATGCTAGTAATCAAATGCCAGGGCCTCACACATACTAGCCAAGTGCTCTGCCACTGAGTTACACTCCCAGTTTCTCAATACACTTTTATTTTAAACCACTGGGAGTTGAATCCAGGGGTGCTTTACCACTGAACCAAATCCCCAGCATTTTTTTTTTTTTTTTTGGTGTGCATGGAGAGGGGAAGAGATTGAACTCAGGGGCACTCAACTATTTTGCATTTTATTAGAGACAGGGTCTGAGTTACTTAGCACCTTGCTATTGCTAAGGCTGGCTTTGAACTCGCAATCCTCCTGCCTAAGCCCCCCTAAGTGCTGGGATTACAGGCATTTGCCACTGTGCCTGGCTTTTATTTTTTATTTTGAGACTTGTCTCACTTAGGGCCTCATTAAACTGCTGAGGCTTGCTTTGAACTTGCAATCCTCCTGCCTCAGCTTCCAAAGTTGCTGGCATTACAGGGGTGTGGTACACGGTGCCAGACTTCAATAAATATTTTTAAAGTGCCCGTGGAACATTTCCCAAGATGACTAAAACAACCTCAATAAACTGCATGCAGTGAGTAGGACATACCTATAATCCTAGTCTGGTGGGCTGGGGCATAAAAATTGCAGGTCTGGGGCCAGCCTCAGCAAGTTAGAAAGACCCTGTCTCAATATAAAAAACAAAAACGGCTGGTAGAGCACTCTGGGTTCATTCAATCCCCCACACCACACATGCACACTGAAGATAACAAATTTAAAAGACGAAGTCAGAATGTTCTTTGACCATTATAGAACCAAGCCAGAAATTAGTAATAGAAATGCATTAGATACTCGAATATAAAAACTAAAATTGATATAAAGGCTTAATGCAATGCCTACTTAAAATTTCAGTGAAGGCAGGCATAATGACACATGCCTGTAATTCCAGTGACGCTGGAAGCTGAGGCACAAGGATTCCAAGTTTGAGGCCAGCCTCAGTAATTTAGCAAGAGTCTAAGCAGTTCAGTGAGACCCTGTCTCAAAATAAGACAGGTGTGGTGGTGTACACCTCTAATCCCAGCAACTCAGAAGGCTGAGGCAGGAGGATCATTAGTTCAAAGCCAGCCTCAGTAACTTAGCAAGACCCTGTCTCCAAATAAAATATAAAATGGCTGGGGATGTGGCTCAGTGGTTAAGCGCCCCTGGGTTCAATCTCTGGTACCAAAAAAAAATTTTTTTTAAATTTATTCTGATTAGTTATATATGACAGCAGAATGAATTACAATTCATATTACACATATAGAGCACAATTTATTATATCTCTGTACACATAGTAGTTAACACCATTCGTGTCTTCATACATATACTTAGGACTGGTACCAAAAATCTTAAAAATAAAGTCCAAGTGAAGCTGGGCATGGTGGTGCATGCCTGTAACCTCAGCAACTTGGAGGCTGAAGCAGGATTCAAAGTTTCATGGTCACCCTCAGCAACTTTGAGACACTCTGCAATACCCTGTCTCCAAATAAAAAATAAAAAGACTGGGGGTGTAGTTCAGTGGTTAAGTGCTCTGGGTTCAATCTCCAATACCAAATTAAAAAAAAAAAAAAAAAAAACCCAGCATTTTTTTTTAATAGGCACAGACAATAGACATAGCAAAATTTACTCTGAAAAGCCATAGCCCTTGAATAAATAATCTTCATAAGAAATTCAGTTAAGTGGAAAGAATTTAATACTACTTCAATATTAAAAGCTTGTCAACTAATCAAGAGAATGTGATACTGGCAAAGGGAAAGACATAGATCGGTGGAAGAAAAGACTCGGAAACAGGTCCATGCAAATATGTTCAACTGCTATTTGATAAAAGTGCCAACCAATTCAACAAAAACCACCTTTGAACACATGGTGCTGGAGCAACTGGACTTCCGTAGGAATAGACTCAAAATGGACTGTAGACTCAAATGTAAAACTTCAGAAACAAACATAGGAGCTCGGCAAAAAGTTCTTAGACTTGATGCCCAAATCGCAATCAGTAAAAGGAAAATTTGTTAAGTTGGGCTTTATCAAAATCAAAAGATTGGGCTGGGGTTGCGGTTACTCAGTGGTAGAGTGTTTGCCTAGCATGCACGAGGCACTGGGTTGGATCCTCAGCACCACATAAATATAAAGATATTGTGTCCACCTAAAACTTAAGAATATTTTTTAAAAAAGATTTTGGCTTGTGAAAACTTGTGTGACGAAAATGAATAAACAAGATATAGAAAATATTTGCAAACCACACATCAAAACTGAACAGAAAGAATATACAATCTAACTAAAAAGTGGATAGAAGATAGGAACAGACTTTTCACTGAAGATATACAGATAGCCTAAAATAAGCACATGAAAGATCGTCAACATCATTAGTCAGAGAAATGCAAATTAAAACTAGTGACACATCATTATACACCCAATAGAATGGCTAAGATAAATAGTGACAAATCAAATGTTGGCAAGGATGTACAGAAACCAAATTACTCATACAGTGCTACTGGGAATGTAAAATGGTATAACTACCCTGAAAAACAATTTCATAGCTTCTTATAAGACTAAACATGAGCCAGGCGTGGCAGCACATGCCTATAACTCCAGTGACTCAGGAGGTTGAAGCAGGAGGATCATAGTTTCAGGCTAACCACAGCAACTTAGCAAGACCCTGTCTCAAAATAAAAAAAAATAAAAGGGCTGGGAAGGTAGCTTAGAGGTAAAGCATTCCTGGGTTCAATCCCCAGTACTCGGGGGCATGGGAAGCCAGGAATTAGGTAACAGAGTACAGCATCAAGACCAACATAAGCACAAGAAACTTCATTGTCAGGTTCCCAAAAATGAGCACTCACTCATTATCTAATAATCACAAATCACAAAATTTCAGGGCTGGGGTTGTGGCTCAGAGGAACAGTGCTCACCTAGCATGCATGAGGAACGGGGTTTGATCCTCAGTACCACATAAAAATAAAACAAAGATTTAAAAAAAAAAAAGTCACACAATTCAATTATAAGGTCATTGACAGAAAACAAACACCAAAAAGTAACCACGCCTGTTTGTGACAACATTGACTTCAGAATAAAATGAAAACATCTTGAACCAAGTTTCAGCAAAATAATTTTATTTTCTAACACATGGTAAACATACACATCCAATATGTGTTCATCTTGCCCATCTCTTCACAAATGACTTTCAACCACAACTGCTTTGACATTTATGCATGTACTAAATTATCTTACTTGAAATACGAAAAATGCTTTTGGATAGGTAACATTCTGATAGGTAACATTCTGAATATATTAGACTGGTCACAGAAGAATTTGCTTTAATTAGATGAGTTCTATAAATTTAAAGCTTTGAAAAGCTACTACTTTTGCATCTAATAGTTCCAGATGAGTAGGATGCAGCAGTATCAGCTTATATTCCAGAGAAATCCCATCAGTTTTTCTGGTGATGGAACCACTTATCCACTGTATTCAGAGAAAAGAAAAACAGATCAGAATTGCTACTGAGAATCAAAATTACACACAATATACAACAATACTATACTTGCTTTAATGGATCCCACTACAGATTATCTCAACATAAATATAGTGATCTTCCTGTCTCAGCCTCCTCAGCCACTGGGATTATAGGAGTGCGCTACCATACCCAACCTAGGCTTCCTTACTCTTTTTTTTGAAATTTTTTTTTGTTGTCGTTGTTGTAAATGGACACACAACACAATGCCTTTATTTTTATGTGATGCTGAGGATCGAACTCGGGTCCCGCCCGAGCTAGGCGAGTACTCTACCACTAAGCCACAATCCCAGCCGCAGGCTTCCTTACTCTTGATGTTAATTGTACAATGTGATTCTCAAATTTGTTTTGAAGTGGCAGAACCATTTTCTTAACAGAAAAAATAGGTTTCTAAGAGCTAAACAGGGAGAGAACCATTTTCCAGACGAAGCAGCCCGTGACCAGATGGGAACATGGAGCCCAACCAACTCAAGGTCCCTCCCACATTGCCCATGAGGCATCTACATGGATCTCAGAGGAACACTGGGTCACATAATGCCAAGTGAAGTAAACAAGGCACAGAAAACACAAATACAGCATGATCTCATTTATGTGTAGGATCTAAAAAAAGTTGAGTTCATAGAAGCTCAGAGTGGAATGGTGGTTGCCAAGGGCCAGAGAGTGGGAGAGGGAGGATAGGGAAAGGGAGATGTTGATCCAAGGGTACAAAGTCGCAGCTAGACAGGAGGAATAAGGTAGGGATGTGCTGCACAGAATGGCAGCTGTACTACATAATGGCCCTTCCTTCCTTACATGCTAGGGATTAAACTCAGGGCCTTGAGCAGGTTAAGATCTACACTAAGCTACAGCCCCAACCCCACTGTACACTAAAAATAGATCAAACAGTATATTTTAAATGTTTTCACCCTATGAAAAAAAGTATAAGGTGACAGACTTAAGCATGATCTAATCATCCTATATTATAACATCAAAACATCATTCTGTGCTCCATATATACATGTCAGTGAAAAATAAAATATATAATTTTACATACATATACCCAATTTTTAATGATTCTACTGAAATGTAGAGCTTACCATCTGTTGGTATTGTGCAGGCAGATTCACATGGTGGTGGTAACTAAAATAAATATTAAAATGCATTAACGGGGGGAAACAACTAAAAGTATACTGCAAAATTTGAAAGAATCTTGATAAAAGGTTACCCTAATTTTTAGGTTCTAAAAATAGTTGATAATATACAGGAATAGTGCAAGTTTTACTCTTCTGCTAAGAGATACTAACATATTCAAGACTCTTGACTTTTAAAATAAAGAATAAAATATTTTATGCATATAGAATAATTTTATATATACACACACATATAAAACGTAAGCAGTGTTGGAAAAGTCAAGTTATAATAATTGATCAATGGGTTTTCCATTCCAGTTTTTCTTATTTATCTCAATGTTGTCAGGATTCATAGTAAACATGTAACAGGCTCATATTGTTGTCCCTTTTCCCTATGCTGCAAGTCAGCTAAGTCAGAGTTCCATTACTTATTGACCATGTGAGGAAAGTGCTCTACCCCCGAGCTATATCTCCAGCCCTTTTTATTTTTATTTTGAGGAAAAGTCTAACAAATTGCCTAGATTGGCCTGGAACTTGCCATCCTCCTGCCTCATATGCTACTATACCTGGCGGTTTGCCTTTTTATTAAATACTGTGATAATAATTGAAGAATTTTTTAAGTCTAAACCACAAAATTAAAAATAATACAAAAAAAAAAATGACTGTTTTGATGGTTGGTTTATTATCTCCCATGACATTCTTTTCTAGTATTACAATCTGCAGTGGTACCTAAAATTAAGTAACTTCCTCAGTCCTTGCCAAAATGAAGACAAGTAAATCCATATTGGTTCTCTTGTGAAAAACGGCTTATGACAGGTAACAGGCACTTGGGTTACCGGGCACATTCTGCAGTCATTTTGATTTTTATGAATTATACTACTTTGCTGCCTGTCCAACTTACAGTTCAGTAGGATCATTCCTCAGCTTCTCCCCTTGGTCAAATATTTACCTGTGTTTATTTCTCATTTCAAGACTTCACACAATATAGGAGGTACTCAAATTATCTGTGAAAGAAGCACTTTTTTCCCCCTATTTGGCAACATATCCTTTATCACTCATCTTTTTTTAAATTTTTTTTTTTGTAATTGTAGATGGACAGCATGCTTTTATTTTATTTATTTTATCTATTTTTATGTGGTGCTGAGGATTGAACCCAGGGCCTTGCACCTGCTAGGTGAGCACTCTACCACTGAGCAACAACCCAGCTCCCATCCTCTTTTTAAAGAGGACTTTTACATACAGCATCCACAATGGCTTTGGCAGCATCAGGATCACACTTGAAGGGGCTCTCAGACACTGTTGTATTCATGCTATGAATAAAACAAAAGTAGTCAGAAGACAAAATAACAACAACAAAAAATCCTCTTAAAAGAGTTAAAAAATAAAAGTTGAAGATTTAGACCTTATGACATTCAAGTTTGGTTGGTTGAAAGCTCTCACCTATATTAAACACTCTAATTATTTTGTCAAGGTGAATTTTTCTTGTGGTTAATTTTACTCAAATATCTATAGTTCAGATTTAACAATCTGAGACTGGATACTTTCAGTTCTCACTGAAATAGCTGAGAAATACCAACTGAAACGAGAAACTTCTTTCCTAGTTGAAGAAAATGAAACAAAAATGTACCCCTGTTCCTATAAGGGCTTATGGGACATCTGAAACAAGACACTCCTGGTAAGAGTAATACCTGAACTCTACATTTCTGAAAAATAACTCATTAAAAATCTTTATAAAGTTCATAAGCTTTGATAGAGAAATTTCCACTCTGAGAGCCCAATACAAGACTGAATCTCTAAAGATGTTCCCATACTGTGAATGGTGAACCAGTGAAAAACTGGAAGTAACCAAAATGTCCACCAATAAGGGATAATGAAAAATGGTTTAACCACAAGATAGAATATTATACAGAAACAGAATGTTACACCATATTATAATGGGAAAATGCTTATAGTATGGTGTTAAATTTAAAAAGCATAAAATTAATTGTGCATGCAATATAATTATAACTATTTTTAAAAGTATTATGTACTTATATAAAGGACTAGGGAAAAACCCCTCCAAATATTAAAAGAGGTATCTGGAAAGTGTGATTCTGGGTGATTTAAAAAACAAAACAAAACAAAAAAAAAACCCCAAAAACCACGGTCTTTTTGCGTATCTATAGTTAAATTCTTTTTATAGCATTAATACAACATAATGTGTGCATAACAAAAAATATTAAAATGAGAAATGAAATATCTGCAATTACCTGTTACCACTGATCTAAATTCCCAGTCCTTTTTATTTTGAGACAGGGTCTCACTAAGTTGCTTAGGGCCTTAATAACTGAGGCTGGCCCTGAACTTGTAATCCTCCTGCCTCAGCCTCCAGAGGTGCTGAAATTACAGGCGTGCACCACCAAACCCTGACTGTTCATTTTCACATAAATGTGTTAACTTTTCTCGGATTTTCCTCTGTTTGTGGAATTATAATATTTTCAGTTTATAGGATATTATCCTGATATAGAAGATTCTTAGGAGAATTATTTTTATACAGTAGGATTTTCTTACACTTAAAGAAAAATCTAAGGCCACATCTATAAGATACATTCACTGTGGTACTACAAAAAAAAAAAAATCATGCATTTAACTACATTTTAAACAATGAATAAGACTATATCCTCTTATAAACAAACTATTCCTCTACCTTTTCCCCTTCATCTTTTTTCCTATAAATAGCTTATTATTGAAGTTAATAAGTTAAGGAATCAGGCCTTTGTTATGTATTGTTTAAAAAGATAAGAAAGTGGTAAACGTCTTCTGATACATAAAAAATAATACCATTTGTAAAACTTTTTTTTTTTTTTTTAAGAATTTCTTTAATATTTATTTTTTGGTTGTAGCTGGACCCAATACCTTTATTTGTTTATTTTTATGTGGTGCTGAGGATCAAACCCAGGGCCTTGCACGTGCTAGGCAGGTGCTCTACTGCTGAGCCACAACCCCAGCCCAGAAATTTTTAATAATAAATTTTTTCTTTTTTTTTTTTTAAATATTTATTGTTTTAGTTTTAAGTGAACACAATATCTTTATTTTATTTTTACATGGTGCTGAGAATCGAACCCAGTGCCTCATGCATGCTAGGCGAGCATGCTACCACTTGAGCCACATCCCCAGCCCTAATAATAAATTTTTCTATCTGGAATTAAATACTGATGGTAAGACAGGGGTTGTAAATTCAAATGCTGGCAGACAGAATCCAATTAAGAGTATAAAATAGGCTGGATGTAAGAAAATTGGTGCTGGGATGTTGTCCACAGAACATACACCAAGCACCTGCCTAGTTATAGCATATTTTAAAAATAAAACACCTGGATCACGATGGTGGTTGCCAGTATGCATGCTTGATTTAAGGATTATAAGGAGATAGAAATCTAGTCTTCTTTTCTTCCTTAATAGCCAGTTGGTTCAAAATCATTAATTCAAAAAATATATTTAACATATTTTTTAATCTTTATTTATTTTTACATGGTGCTGAGGATTGAACCCAGTGCTTCACACATGCAAGGCAAGTGCTCTACCACTGAGTCATAACCACAGCCTTCAAAATATATTCTGTATTATGAACTGTAAACAACATGAACCTACTATTATAATTAACACTCCTTTACACCTCGACTACCTTTGTTTTTTCTTTTTCCTGAATTTTCCTGGTTATTCTCACATGTAAATTGTTTCTAGATGAAATTGAATGTCATTCTTTTTCCCCGCTTTGGGTACCAGGGATTGAACTCAGGGGCACTCAACCACTGAGCCCCATCCCCAGCCCTATTTTTGTATTTTATTTAGAGACAGGGGCTCACTGAGTTGCTTAGTGCCTTGCCATTGCTGAGGCTGGCTTTGAACACACGATCATCCTGTCTCAGCCTCCTAAGCCTTGGGGATTACAGGTGTGTGACACTGTGCCCAGCTCGAACAGTTTATCTTTCTATTTAACATCTTGTATATTCCTCAACAGAATCTTAAAGTTTCCCTTTCTTGGGTCTTAAAGATTCACTATTTAATCTTGGTATTTTTTTTTTATTTGTGCATGGAGTGGGGTGGTGGTAGGGAGTGGGTATTAAGGATTAAATCCAGGGGTACTCTTACCACTGAGCAACTACATACATCTCTAGTTCTTTTTAGTTTTTATTTTGAGAGAGCGTCTCACCAAGTAAATTGTTAAGGCTGCCCTTGAACTTAGGTTCCTCTTGCCTTTGCCTCCCAAGTACCTGGGATTACTAGTGTGCCCAACCATGTCTGGCCATTACCCCCCCCCCCCCCAAAGGTTTTCTGGATATACAATATCATCTGCAACACTTGCTCTGCCCTTTCCAATATTCCTACACCTCATTCCATTATCTATTTCATTGATTAGTATTTTCAGAACAATAGGTAAGTGATCACAGTGGGTAGCCTCTTGAGGAAGTCCACTGTACTGTTAAGAACGCAGGTTTGGGGGACAGACAAGAGTATGAATTCTTGCTCTGACACTTATTCTGAAGTGACTGTGATTATATTATATTCAATTACCCCACACCCGGTACAGGCTCAGCAGATATTAACTGCTTCATAAACATTAGCTACTATTAGTGTTGATAAATTTGGTGTACACGGTAGACGCTGGTGTAGTTGTGATGCACCTTAAGTTTTTATATCAGAGGATACTAACCCTGCACTCATCTTTATCTTTTATATTCTGAATGCCCTGATGCCAGCAGCCTTTCCCATATACCCTCACACAGCTCTGACCTCACTGTCCTCTTTATGTTTTAGATTGTACTTGTTCAGAGTGTCCGAATTCACTTGAGCACTGACAAAACTAAGTTCTTTACCAAGTGAATGTAATAGTACAGTGTCTTACGGTTACTGAAACCCTGGGCACAAACTGGCTTGCTCTGTATTGAACATGCAGAAGAGGGGAACACTTACCAACTGATTCCTTTTCCATCCGTTTTCTTAGTCACTAATGCTTTCCAATAGTCATGAGTACTTTTAATAATATCAACTGCAAAGTCCTATAATTTAAAGAGAGATGTATTAGTTACAGTGTAGAAGTGTTTTTTTTCCATTACCATATGTCCATGCATAATTGTCACGGATTTTGTCAAATTCAGTAAAGAAGTGGGGTGCGACCATTATAAGATGAAGTTGTTTTTTTTTCATAATTAGGGATTTAAGCCAGGATTGCTTAACCATTGAGCCACATCCCCAGTCCCTTTTACTTTTTATTTTGAGACAGGATCTCACTAAGCTGCTGAGGGCCTGCTAGGTTACCAAGGCTGGCCTTGAAGTTGTAATCCTCCTATCTTAGTCTCTCAAGTCACTGGGATTAGAGGCGTGTGCCACCACGCCCAGCACGATGTGAAGTTTTTATTTTAAAAAATCATGCTGACACTATTTAAAAATTGTTTATTACTAAGAAATATGATAGACATTTCCCAAACCCTGATACTTTATTTTGAATCAGTTCTTGTGTTAAAAAATAAAGAGAACATTTAAACAAAGGTTAATAAGACACAAAGACTGTCTAAGTCTTTAGTCTTTTAATTTTTAAATGAGAATTATATGATTAAATTATAAGTCTCAATACAAACAGGCCTAAAACTACAGTTATGAATGACATATCACCTTATCTTTAAATTCAGCATTGAAAGCAAATTCATTTTCTGGTTTTCCATCAGGAACCTTGTACCTTCTAAACCAGTCCACAGTAGCTTCTAGGTAGCCGGGTTTCAGCCGTTTGACATCATTTATATCTATAGAGTATAAGGAATTTACAAGATGCATTATTATTTATGCATTCAACAAAAACATCAAATATTTACATTGACAGACCTCCCATTATGTTTTAGAGGGCAGTTCTTTACTTCGTCACACTATAAGATACTTGGGGCTCATCTTTTCATTTCCTGCTGTAGTCATAGAATCTGCCATTTCTCCCAGGATCTTAGATCCTCTTCATTGTAGAATCTGGGTGCCAGGGGAGCTCATCATCACTGAAAAGTTCTCCTAAGCCCTCCCAGCTGATAAAGAAACAGACATGTGTATACAAAGTCATGTACATACATATATTTAAAAACGTTTCTTTTGGTACTGGGGATTGAACCCAGGGGTGCTTTACCACTGAGCTACATCCCCAGACCTTTTTATTTTTTGAGACGGGGTCTCACCAAGTTGCTGAGATTGGCCTTGACCTTGCAAACTTCCTGCCTCAGTCACTAGAGTCATTGCAACTGCAGGTGTGCACCACTGCACTATGCTCTAAAAGTTATTTCTCTATGTCTCCATCTGTTTTTACATTGGGATAAATTTGGGTTCATACTGGTATCTCCAACTCTAGCCACATCTCCTTGCTTATCTATAACCTCCCACTGCAACAGGGAGAAGCCTGGTTCACCATCTTCCATCCATTTATTTAATTGCTCAGATCCAGTATTTGTTTAGTGTCTAGGCCTGTGAAGCAGCGATCCAACAGAAACAACTTTACCAACTGCAGTCCGATGCTATGTGCAGTTCTTTCTGCCTTTGGTCTTACTAATTTCACTCATCCCTAAAGCAACTAAGGTCAGGGAGGTTCTTTCATACATTTGTAATACAGTAAGATTCTTTCGATATAATCTACATTTCATCCTGGAATTGACCTTGTAAATGATTCTTTTATACTGTATATTAGATAATCTATTCTGTAAAACAAGCAATAAAATCACAAGCTTGGTAGCTTAAAATAACATGTTTATTATCTAACAGTCCTGTGGGTCGGAAGTTCCACAGTGCCACTAGGTGTCAGCAGGGCTGTGTGACCTTTTTTAATATCTTTATTTTATTTGTTTATTGTATGTGGTAGTGCCTCACACATGCTAGGCAAGCACTCTACCACTAAGCCACAACTCGGCCCAGCTGTGCACCCTTCTAAGGACTCTGGGAGAGAATCTGTTTCCTTGCATTTATCAGCTTTCGTAGACTGCCCCCTCCTCACCTCCAGCATTTTCAAGCCAGCAATGTGGCACCTCCCTGAGCTTTCTCTTGCCATCACATTGCTCTGTCAACACAGCTGGGAAAGGACGTGTGTGATGGATTAGGCCCACTTGGATACTTACTCCAGGATACATCCCCCATCCCAGGTCCTTAATGTTAATCGTGTCAGAAAGCCCACTGGCCACAGGTGACATCTTCCCAGGTTTCAGGGTTAAGAGTTGGGCATTTCTAGAGGGGGCGTTATTCTGCCACTATGAAAATCTACGGGTTAGGCAAATGCACATTATCGTGTATCCACCGTACAGGGCCATACAAAATAATTTTACTGCTGTGGTAGACAGACACCCATCTCTCAATTCCCAGTCTGTGAAAGTGCTGTTTCATAGCAAGGGGGGAAAATGGAGCAGATGGAATTAAGGTTGTTCATCATCTGACCTTAACACTGGGGTATTATCCCTGGTCATCTGGGTGGGTCTGACGTAATCACAGAGGTCCTTACACATAAAGAAGGAAGATGAGTCAGAGGAGCTGTGACAAGGAACTCAAGTTTGCAGTGAGAAAAAAATGGATCTTCCTCAAGGGTCTGCAGAGGAACACAGCCCTGCTGACACTTCTCCAGTGAGACCCATTTTATAAGACTAATTCAATAACCAGATAAACGGTTAGAAGTAGAAGCAAGGTTAATTACTGATACATACTACACACGTGAATGAGCTAGAAAATGGACAGTGAGTGAAAGCAGCTAGACACAAAAGGCTGCATGTTATACAAGTCTGTTTTTCCACGCCTATGGAAAAATTAACTCAAAATAAATCAAAGACTACAATGTAAAAGCTAAATTTATAAACCCATGGAAGAAAATATAAGCTCAAACCTTTATGACCTTGGATCAGGCAATGGTTTCTTAGACACAACATCAAAAACACAAGAAAAGGGCTGGGGTTGTGGCTCTGTGATAGAGTACTCGCCTAACACATACGAGGCACTGGGTTCGATCCTCAGCACCACATAAAAATAAACAGATGATTAAAAGGAAAAACTGGACTTCCATCAAAATTTAAAACTCGAGTACCTCAAAGTATACTGTTAAGAAAATGAAAGGACCAGCCACAGAATGAGAAACAGTACCACTGTTTTGATTAAAAACATGATCACACAAAAACACATATAGGATCATGGCATTGTTTATAATCACTAGAACCCAAATGTCTACACCTGGTGGACACAAACAAAATGTTAATATCCACACAATGGAACAAAATTCAGCCATAAAAAGGAGTGAGTACTGATTCAGGCAACATGAAAGAACATAGAAAACATGAAGTGAAAGCAGCCAGACGAGAATGCGTGCCATACAGGCCCATGTGCATGAAACCTCTAGAGACAAAAGTAGACCTAGTGGTTGTTAGGACCTGGGAGAAGGAGGGGAAAGGAAGTAAACTGACCTTGTGGTGGTGGTTGCACAACCTAGTGAATGTGTTAAATACCAATGAATTGTACACTTAAAAATGTTAAGATCAGGGGATGAGGTTGTGACTCAGTGGTAGAGCACTCGCCTAGCATGAGTGAGGTGCTGGGTTCAATCCTCAGCACCACATAAAAATAAAAACAAATAAAAATAAAGGTATTGTGTCCAACTACAACTAAGAAAATATTAAAAAAAAAAAAAAAAAACGATAAAATCAGTCAGGTATGTAGTCAATGCTTGTAATCCCAGCAACTCCAAAAGCTGAAGCAGGAGGATGGCAAATTTGAGGCCAGTCTCAGCAATTCAGCAAAATCCTATCTCAAAAAAAAAAAAAAAATGAGGTTGGAAATGTAGCTCAGAGGTAGAGCACTGTTGGGTTCAATCTCCAATACTCACCTCCTAACACACAAAAAGATAATGTCAACAATACAGAATGTCCTTTTAGGGCAAAGGAAATTATCTGGAATTAGACAGTGGTGATGATCATACAACTTACTAAATACATTAAAAGAAAATCCAATAAACCCAAACAGATTTTTTTTCTTTCACAGAACAAAAGAGAAGCTTACTTTTTAGTTAATTGTCCCTCCCAAGTTCAGTTGTACAAATAACAATGCTTTGTTCCTCCATTCTTTAACAATGTGGAGTCAGGGGTTTACAATTCCAATTATAATTATGGGTAAAGTTTGGTCTTGCCTAAGAAAGTTAGAAAGACTTAATTTTCTTACCATTATAATTCGCTGCATCAGGATCATCCACGTTAATGGCAATGACTTTCCAGTCAGTTTCTCCTTCATCAATCATAGCCAATATGCCCAGAACTTTCACCCTGATTATTTCACCTCTTGCACATACCTGAGGGGCAATAATCACGGTCAGGACAGAATTACAGAATGGAAGTTTGAAACAAAGTTTTACTTGGGAGTAATAGGAAATAAGAAAGGTGTCAAATTTCTGCAAATTTACTTGAAGATTGTTCCTTGAAGTAAACTTTTAGAATTATTTATTTAAGTACTAAGAATTAAAGCCAGAGGTACTTTACCACAGAACTACATCCCTAGCCATCTTAATTTTTACTTTGAGACAGGGTCTTGCTAAGTTGTTAAGGCTGGTCTTGAACTTGTGATCCTCCTGTCTCAGCCTCCCGAGTTGCTGGGATTATAGGTGTGCACCACCTTCTCCAGCTTGAAGCAAGTTTTTAAAAGATATAAATGCTTTATCAGTCTTATTAAGGTTGAAAACAAGACCTGTAAGTCCTGTTCTCTTATAGGTCAGAAGAAAATCAGTAACATAATTCAGGATAATTAATAATACTTTTCATATTGTCTTTGTGCTGAAGAATAAGTTCACCATAATTTGTTTCAGAAACAATTTTCCTTTTTTTGACACAGGGTCTTGCTATGTGTTTCCAGGCTGGCCTTGAATTTGTGATCCTCCTGCCTCAGCCTCCTTTGTAACTAGGATTACATGCATGTATCATTGCAGCAGACTTAGACTTTTTGAAGTAGTGGGGTTTGAACTGAGGGCCTCTTACATGCTAGGCAAGTCTCTACCACCGAGCTATTTCCCCTTTTGAAAAAAATTTTGAGATAGGGTCTTGCTAAGTTGCCAAGGCTGGTCTTGAACCTGTGATTTTTTTCTGCCTTTGCCTTCAGAATTGCTGGGATTACAGGCATGTAACACTACACTTAGCTTCAGATACATCTCTTAATGTGCTTTACTAAGACTGAGGCAGGAGGATCACAAGTCCGAGGTCAGCCTCAGCAATTTAGCAAGGCCCTAGGCAACTTGGCAAGCCCGTCTCAAAACACAAAATAAAAGGCAGGGAATGTAGCTCAGTGGTGAAGGACCCCTATTTTCAATCTCCAGTACCAATTTAAAAAAAGAAGTAACTTTATCAGAATTTTAGAGCAACCCTACTTAATAGAAGAATCACTATCATAAGCTTATGTGGTCCATTTGGCTGGAGTCATTTCACCGATTTCTTCAAATCATTAGGTTCAGTTTGCTTTGTACTGAGATAAAATGTGCCTCTTGGTGCCCTTCACCTATTGGCTAGCTGTCCATCTCCCAGGACACTGCAGAATATCCCCTTCTTCTACATGTACGTTCAGTCATATACACATAAATACACATTTTTTTCCAGATTAGGTTTAAATGTACAAATGGCAATGTATAAATGCTTGGAAGGAAAGAGAAACCAAGCCAAAGAGACATCACTATTTCACTAATAGTCATATACTGTATTCACAATATTTTTTAAAGCATGAATTTTGATATATTTCATTAATTTCATCTTAACACAGTAGAATAAAATGTCCAATTTCATTACCTTGCTTCCAATTTCACAAACATCAATTGGGTCATTGTCACCACAACAGCCAGTATGTTTATCATTGTGTCCTGGGTCTTCCCAAGTCTAAAAAACAAGGATTAGGGCATATCATTCTTGTATATGTTGCTGACAAAGTGGATTATGTTGACATTAACACATAACATCCCATAACTCTTTCTGCAAAAACACGCATCTTCAACTATTTTTTGCTCATTTTTAAAATTCTTTATTCACTTTAAGCATCTAAATAAGACACTAAAACAGATGTGGGTAGGCAGCAATATGAAAACAGAAATGATACTTTCTTATGTTAAAAGCATCATTGCTGACCAGGAACCACAACTAAAAAGTTTCATCAGGATTTTCTGAAGCTTAAATTCCTGGCTTGCTTTCCTTGCTAAAAGGCAAGCCAGGACCCTTGCAGAGCACCACACAAAAGAACTGAAACCTGTGCTTGTCAGGAAGTTAGGTTTGAAATGCAACTGCTGTTTTTCTTTTCTTCCTCTATCAGAGCATATTTATGACTTGGATTTGTTTGCCTATTCAGCTGACGTGAAAGCAAAAAGATAAAAATGAAGAGGGATAAATAAAGAAGACCATATCCAACAAAGCATTTCAGCAATGTTTTCCTAAAGGCACCACACTTAAATGCTAACACTAAATGAACTGAAGTACAAGGTAAGGCACTCTAGTTAGGGCAGACAACTTTGTGATTACCCAATAAGCTAGATGAGTTTGACTTATGTTCTTTCTAGTAACTTAAAATTGTTTCACAGTAGATTTCATTTAATAGACTTAATGGTGAATAGAAACAAATCACTTATCAAGAGGAAAAACTAAACTGAACAGTTAGTAAGTGCCACAGCATTAGCCTAGCTAAACCAGAATTAAATAAATGTTGTTTACTCATAACAGACTCATAATAGTGATTCTTCATTCAAATATCAAATAAGAATCTGCTGCGTACTGGCATTTTGGTAGAGATAAATTAGTAAACGATGCAAAATATACCCTTCTAGAAGGGCTAACTGCTTAAGAAAACAGGACTCCCATCATTACTTTACCACAAAGAGCTTGACCCAAAGGAGGAATTGGGACCCTAAACCTAAAAGTCAATGGCTATGAGAACTGCATGTGAGGTACTATATGCTTTATCTCTGCCAATAACTTCAGGAACTGAATATTATTAATGTCTCAGGGAGAAAGAAAAGGAGATAAGTCCAGAACCAAAAATCAGTGCTTTTAACCACCATCTTATGTTCTCTCTTTACTAGTTGTAGACTTGGGCTGGGGATACAGCTCAGTGGTAGAGTGTCTGCCTTGTACGCGTGAGGCCTCGAGTTTGATCCTCAGTAACATTCCCCTCAAAAAAGAAGTCTCTATTAGTAGACATGCCACTTAATCTGGAAAGAAAGAATGCATATACCTTATAACCAGTCCATTTAAAAAAAACAAAATATTTTGGAAAAGAATAAACTTTCAAATCTGAGTTTAAATGTTGTATTTAAATTTCAGCTAATTATGAAAAAAGGGTTTTTAAGGAAGTATTAAAATGTATTAATTACCCCTAAGTTTTTTAAGTCTACATTTTCTGAAGGTGTTTAATATATATAACTAACCACTTAAGTTAATTTTTAGTAAGTTAAAAGAGTATATTTTCAGGAAGTACATGCAAACATACCTGAGGGATGGCACCATAGTTCCAGATATACCCCTTGTAGGGGAACAAATTCGCAACATAACGGAGTTTCCCTTTTTTCACATCTTGCTTAATTGGGTTTAAAGGGTCCTTTGTAGCAATCTGAAAGATTCAAATAGATATCTGAGGAAATGAATTATGGCATGTTGTCTCCTAATTCCACTTTTAACAATTAATTTTATCCCTAACATTTTTATAATTTGGACTAACATGTTTTCGCAATTAGCCCTTAAGTGGAAAGCTTAATTAGGCAATTATCAATTACTAATTCTAGACAGCAACAACTAAAATTAGCTGGAAACACTTGAAAAAAATACCAAGATTTTTATTAAAAGGGTAAAACAAATATAATCCAATTTCATCTTTCTTTTAAAGCATTTAAAATTATTAAAATATCTGAGTGTGCTGGGAGCAGTGCACATGCCTGGAATCCCCATGGCTCAGGAGGCTGAGTCAGGAGGATCTCAAGTTCAAAGTAAGTCTCAGCAACTTAGCAAGACCCTGTATTAAAAATAAAAAATAAAAAGGGCTGGATACATGGCTCAGTGGTTAAGTGCCCTTGGGTTCAATACACACTGGTACCAAAAAAAAAAGGTATGAATGTATATTACATGCAAAACATGTTCAAAAAATTCAACAATAACAAAAAGGCAACCATGTTAGGAGTCATCAGAAGAAATTAACAAAATGCAACAGAAATTCCAGTGAGATTACTTGTAGCTGGGATGGCTAAAGAGGAGTCAAGGAAGAATTTAAGAGTAAGAGGAGGAAGTTGGTGTGGAGGCACATATCTGTAATTCTACCAATTGGAAGGCTGAGGCAGAAGACTATGGATTCAAGACCAGCCTGGGCAACTCGGTGAGACCCTGTCTCAAAATGAAAAAGAAAAAGTGCTGAGGGTACAGCTTCATGGAGAGTACCCCAGGTTCATTCCTTAGTACCAGAAAAAAGAATATAAGAAAAAAGAAAGTTTGAGAACATCAGAAGCAAAGGTGTGGGGAAGGAAAGTCTGGAGCATATTTACAAATTGTAAATGGCTAAGTTTAGTGTGAGCACAGAGAAGAGTACAGATGTTTCACCCCTAATAATACCTAATATCCTAATAATATCTAATATCTAATATCCTAAGTCTGATATTGAAGGTGAAACGTTACCTCCATTTTTGCATTAGACCAGCGTGGAACTTCAACAACCATGTGAAAGATATCCTGGAAAAACAAAGCAAAGATAAGATGACCACAGGAGCTACTTTGTCTCTTATTACCGGAAGCATGTGTGTTTCTTCGAAAGTTAAATTGTTAGTCTGAGGTCAATTTTAGCAACTTAGTAAGACCCTATCTTTAAAAAAAAAAAAAGATGGGGGATGAGAGAACATCCCTGGACTTAATCCCCAGTACAGGGTGGGAGAGAGAAACCCCTAAATCAGCCTAATTACTTGATCATACTTTAACAAAATTATACAGCTAGATTACCTACATTATTCTCCAAATTTGACTGCTTTTCAAAATCAAGGTTTGGCATTGAAGAAAAACATATTCCAAAAATGTCAGGCAAACACAGTAGTATTGTAATTAGCTAAGAGCCTTAAGTTGTGTGTGTATGTATTTACTGCCCTCCCCCACCCCGGCTTAAATTGTTTACTGTAAAGTAGATGATTTTGGGGAGCATGCATACTTTTTCATCTCATTTTGCATACCAAGTTAAATATGGACTTGGCAGAGGCTGGGGTTGTAACTCAGTGGTAGAGCGCTTGCCTAGCCCATGTGAGGCACTGGGTTCGATTCTTAGCACCACATATAAATAAATAAAATAAAGGTCCATTGATAACTAAAAAAAGATATTAGATATTATTTAGAAAACCAATGGCAAGTCCATATTTTTTGTTTAACTAAAACCGAGCTTTAAACAGACTATTTACTTTATTACAGGTGGACACAATATCTTTATTTCATTTTTATGTGGTGTGAGGATCGAAACCAGTGCCTCAAGTGTGCTAGGCAAACACTCTACCACTTAGCCAGAACCCCAGCCCCAGACTATGATTTATAAAATTTGCAATTTTTTTTTTAGTTGTAGAGGGACATATAATATTTTTATTATTTTTTTATGTGATGTTGAGGATCGAACTAGTGCCTCACATATGCTAGGCAAGAGCTCTGCCACTGAGCTATAGCTCCGGCCTCCAGACAATGATTTTTACCAAGGAATAAAACTTGTAGTGAGTTTTTCTGTTTGCAGCCCCTAGAAGGACACAGATGAAGCTTAATCTGCAATCATTCTTTTATCAAAAATGTATCTTTAAACTGGGTGTGGTGGTGCACACCTGTAATCCCAGCAACTTGGGAGGCTGAGCAGGAGAACCATGAGTTCAAGATCACCTCTGCAATTTTGTGTAGACTATCTCAAGATCAAAAATGAAATAGGCTGGAGATGTAGCTCAATGGTAGAGCACCCCTGGGTTCAATTCCGAGTACTCCCCAACCCCCCACAAACATCTACCTTTAAGGGACTGGGGATATAGCTCAGCAGTATAACACTTGCCTAGCATGTGGAAGGCCCTGGGTTCAATTCCCAGCCCCACCAAAGGGAAAAAGAAAATGAAAATTAGAGCTGAGTGATAGACCTAGCTATTCAGAAGAGTGAGCTAAGAGGATCTCATTTGTACCCCAGAGTTTGAGACCAATTTGGACAACATGGTGATATTCCACTAAAAATAAATAAATAGGGCTGGCACTGTAGCTCAGTGGTAGCCCAACGTCTTGCATGCATGAGAACCTGGGCTCAACCTATGAATGAATAAAATGAAATGAAAATTACTTACACAACTTTTTAGAAATACCCCTCTGCTATTTTGCATGAAAAGACAAGGCTGATAAACTATCAGGGAATAAGTCAAAGGTATCAAGTCAGAAATCACCTTGCTGTTGTTTTTAAACAAGCAGAAAAGCAACACATTGTGTACATTCTGCCAAGCCTCCTGATGCCTATGGAATACCATATAAAGCCAATAAAATAGAGATTTCACTTAAATCTGGGACTGAATGAACCACTCTTTTCCTATATCCCTATTAAGTAATAACTAGATGGTTTAGAAAATGTAACAATTGTTCATGGGTAGGAAGCCTCAGGACCAACCTCTGGTTAAATTTCACTTTGTCCACTGTAAGTTTTCAAGAACTATATTTATCTAGTATCACGTCTTAGCTATGAAAAGGAAAGATCTGTAAACTATGTCAGGGATTTAAAAGTTTTCATGAGCAATATCTTAAAGATTCACAAGGGGGAGCTATTACCACATGAAAGTTCAACTAAGTAGCGGTTATTTTTTTATTTTTGTTTTTTGATACTGAGTATTGAACCCAGGAGTGCTGCATCCCTCATGACTTGTGATCTGTTTACAACACTAGATCTAAAGCCTAGTGAACATGACACACTATATCATAGATTTATACAAGTAGCTGAAATAAGCATTTTCAAGTTGACTCATGATTTATTTCTCTAGAAAACTTCAGACAGAAATCAAGTAAAGGCCAGACCTGAAAAGAAACACAAATATCACCCTCTGATCCCACCACTCTCATTTTTTTTAAGTACTTTTTTACTTGTCAATGTACCTTTATTTTACTTATTTATATGTGGTGCTGAGACTCGAACCCAGTGCCTCATACATGCTGGGCAAGCACTCTATCACTGAGTGACAACCCCCAGCCCCCCACCACTCATTTTTTAATGTTTTCAGTAAAAGTAAGACAGTGGTGGTTGTAGAAAGAATATTTTTCTAAAACCATCTAGAGATTCGATATAAAGAAGCTAATACCAAATGAGTAGCTTTATACTTTTTTTGAATTTCAGATGTACAAAATCCCTATCAGAGAGCTCACATAGGGGCTGGGGCTGTAGATAAGTGGTAGAGTGCTTGCCTAGTATGTGTGAGGCACTGGGTTCAAATCTCCATACGAGATATAAATAAATAAAACAAAGGTTCATCAACAATTAAAAAAGAGTTCACATAGGTAATAAGGAAATGATCCAGCCCCATAATGGTTTTGAAAAGGTGCATCAGGTTTTTCATCATTCCAAGAATATTTTACCTTATTCAGTGATCACTGAGCAACAATGGCTCTTAACAGTGACTTTTCAGTTTAGGCATCAAAGTTGGTTTTATGATTATAGAAGGATATTCTCTCCAGTTGTTAAAAATAAATGGATTCCTAAATTATTTAATTGACAAATGACAGTCTATTTTAGAAGCTAATGGAAAGAAATATGATGAACAAAGTTTATACTACTGTGCCCTATTTAGAATTGTAACAGCAACTGAAAACATGTCAACCCCCGCCCCCCCCCCCCCCACACACACACACACACACACAAATTTTTTGCTCAAAGATTGTGTTAACAGGGCTGGGATTGTGGCTCAACGGTAGAGCGCTCACCTAGCTCGTGCGAGGCCCTGGGTTCGATCCTCAGCACCACATAAAAATATATAAAATAATGTGTCCAACTAGAAAACAAAAAGATCGTGTCAACAGTCCAGAGGAAGATGATTTAACCTATTTAAAAAAAAAAAAAAACCATACATACACAAGACTTTCAGTAATACTGGCCAAGTACCCTTATCCAAAATGCTTGGAACCAAAAGCATTTGATTTCAGGTTTTGGGATTCTGGAACAGTTACATAGACTCTACTAGTTGAGTATCCCTAATCCAATTCTATTGCTCTGAACATGAAACATTTTGAGCATTCAAAGTTTCAGATTCTGGGCTGGGATTGTGGCTCAGTGGCAGAGCTTTTGCCTCTCATGTGTGAGACACTGGGTTTGATTCTCAGCACCACATAAAAATAAAATCAATAAATAAAGGTCCATCAACAACTAAAAAAAAAAAAAGTTTCAGATGCTCAACCTGAACTTTGTTATTGTGCAATTACAAAGATTTCTTGTTTATGGCAGTCAAACAACCCTGATAGTTAGAAATACACCCTGCCATGTGTACCAACACAGAGTAGTAACTTAATCCTCCAAGTCTTAACTAAGAATAAACACCTACTTTTCCCCTTCAGATAACTTCAGAATTACTAAATTTTGAAAACAGATATTCTAACGGTAATTTATTTTCTCCCTCTTGCTTGATTTTTTTTAATAAAAAGAGCCTACATTTCTAGTTATCAACATTTTTATCATTTGCAATGACTAACTAGAACCTTTCCCAAGAAAAATGCACAACTGCCCCAAAACTGCAGAAAATAAAAAGTTTCTAAAAACATCAACCTATTTGATTAGAAGCTTGACCTTTTTGGGGGGGAATAAGAGACAGTTCCATATTTACATAAACTACTGTATGTTCCCAACAAGTTTAGGAAAAACAAAGATGCTACATAGTCAGAACTGGTTTTTAACATGAACATTTAAGGTCCATGGACTAGGAAAACACCACACTTCTAAAATTATAATATCAAGTCATGATATATGAGCACTTTGTATCTTTATCTACTCAGTGTTCATATTATTTACCATGTCCTGGGATTTTTAAATTCCTGGTATCTTAGAAGTTCTTAGAAGATATTCCTGAGCCACAGGTACATGTGTATATATTATATATATATATATTTTAATTTTTTTAGTTGTCAATGAACCTTTATTTTATTTATGTATATGAGGTGCTGAGAATTGAACCAGTGCCTTGCATATGCTAGGCAAGCGCTCTACCACTGAGCCACAACCCCAGTCTCAGGTACTTTTATATATGATCCCCAAACAAAGGCAGAGCAAAGGGAGTTCATACAAAAATATATATATATATCCAGCGATTCCTTGCCTTCACCTACTCTACCCACTACATTTGGACATAAAACACCTGAGTCATAACAACTTCCAGGCCTGGCTAACTTGACAACCTAATGGCATAACCAAATTGGATGTTACCCACATTGAAAGATCCTGATATGCAGTACAATATACAAGCCTTTGGACATTTTTCTTTAGTAGAGTTATGTTAAAGGTACATCTTTACTGTTAGTGACATTCCCTCATTACCTCAAAGACTTACCATACTAGAGATAAAGATTATGACCACACACGCAAAAATATATCACGTAAACTTAATCACATTGGAATTGGAGAGGAAAAGAAAGAAAAAGGAAAGGAGAAAGGAAACTTTTGGGGGTAGGTAATAATCCAAAATTAACCCGTATTGCCCACACCTATGTTTGTGTTTTCAACAACTTCCCTGAAAACAAAAGAGCTTCGTCCAGCTTCTCAAGGAGGAATCAGAAGCAACAAGGTCCTTAGATTCTGGACAACTGCAGAAATCCAGAGCTCACACGTCTGAGCCAGCACAGGGTGGCAGAGGGTAGAGGCTTCCTGAGTAACCATACCACAGATACAAGCAACCCCATTCAAGACTTCAGTGTCACAGGGTAACTGAGTAAAGATGTTTTGTACAACACCAAAAGGTCATCTCAGTTTCCTATCTTGGAATATTTGAAGCAGGTACTATGACTTCTATGATCATTCTGTTCTTGGCTAGAACACTGTCTAATTATTTATGAACACCAAAAATCAATTATGTGTAAAGTGGTTTCCTTTCTGAGCTCACCTGCATGCAAAGGTACCTCTTCATTATTCACAATGGTCGGAGTCGTTACCATGAAGTTCTTTATGTAGGATGTAAATACTATTATTCAACAAATGGATAGGTCAAACCAACCAAATGAGACCAATTCAAGAGGTGGGGAGGAATCAGTAATTCATCAGTTCTCAGGAAATCAGATGCAACAAACCGAGTTTCTGAATAGATAAAATTTTGAGTCTTCTACAGGAAAACACATGCCAATTAGAGGTCCCTCCTGTATAACTATGGCACATAACTGTCTTGGGGCTCTGTGCTCTATTGTCTCCAACTGGGGCCTAGTTCAGGCAGGCTCCTCTGAAGCAACACATGAAATGGATTTTCTGCCAGTGCCTAAGTGTCAACAGGGAACTTAAGCAAACTTCCTGCCAGAAGAACAGTACAATATATTTGTCTATTCCTAAGAGTCAAGCCCAGAAAACAGTAAGACTGAGCATACACAGGGAAAAAATTTCATCTATTATTCTACACATGCATCGCAATGTGACATTCACATGTAGTATGGATCAACACTAAGCCAAGGAAGGTCAGTAGCCTATGTGGCTTTTATAACTCAAACTCCTTCTTGAAGAAAAAAAAGAAATATGAAATGTATAAAACCAGATATATGTCCTGTGTCAAGTTCCTGGACACAGTACAAACTCCTCCGGCTGCAAAGGAGGCTAAAAACAAAAAAACCTGGGTTTTTTGGTGTGTGTGTGTGTTGCTGGGGATTGAACCCAGTGCCTTAAGCATACAAGGCAAGCACTCTACAAACTGAGCTATATCCCCAGCACTCCCCGCTTTTTAACATAACTAAAGTTGTGAAAATATGCGTTGAGGATACAGCTCAGTGGTAATCACTTGCCTAGAATGTGTAAGTAAGGCCCTGGGTTCTATCCCTAACCCCACAAAAACAAAAAAGTCACTGGTTAATCCTACTACCCAAGGATTATAAACTTTTTTTTTTTTATATTTATTTTTTAGTTGTACACAACACCTTTATTTTGTTTATTTTTATGTGGTGCTGAGGATCGAACCCAGGGCCTCACACGTGCTAGACGAGCGCTCTACCGCTGAGCCACAACCCCAGCCCTAAAGTTTTTAATATATATCTAGTTGTAAATATTTTTCCTAGAAAAGTAAAGATTCTTATTAATTTATGGTAAACATACCAATCTACTAAATCTCCAGCTCATTGGGTACATGTAAGAACAGATCACTAGTGAGGCCTGGTGGTGCACACCTATAATCCCAGAGACTCACGAGGCTGAGGCAGGAGGATTTTTAGTTCAAAGCCAGCCTCCGCAACTTAGTGAGGTGTTAAACAACTCAGTGAGACCCTGTCTCTAAAATAAAATATATAAAAAAGGGCTGGGGATGTGGCTCAGTGGTTAAGTGCTTCTGGGTTCAATTCCTGGTACCAAAATAAATAAACAAACATTATAGTCAAGATTTTGTGCTAGAGTAATGAAGTACTAAGATTTTAGTTCTAAACACACAAAGACCAATGTGATTTTTTTATTTAATAAAGCACCCTAAAAAACTCTGCCTCTATTCCGCTAACCTTTCCCAACATGTAGTTGCTTCTTTAACTGAATAATCTGGTTTTAAGTCTGATTTCTTGCCAGGCACGGTGGCACACACTTGTGATCCCAGATATTTGGAAGGCTGAAACCTCAGGAGGCTCAGAAGTTCAAGGTCAACCTGAACAAGTTAGTGAAACTTTGTGTCAAAAATGAAATCAGAGCTGGGGCTGTAGCTTACTGGTAGAGTGCTTGCCTAGAGTGTGTAAGGCACCAGGTTTGATCCTCAGAACCACTTACAAATAAATAAATTAATTAAATAAAGGCACTCTACCCATCTACAACTACAAAAAAGATTTTAAAAAAGAAAAAGAGTTGGGGATAGTACAGTGGTAGGACAGACTTATTTTTTATTTAGTCAATAAACTTAATTTTTTTTTTTTTTTAGTTGTAGATGGACACAATATCTTTATTTATTTTTATGTGGTTACAAGGATCAAACCCAGTGCCTCACAAGTGTGAGGCAGGCACTCTTAACACTGAGCTACAGCCCCAGCTCCTAGTCAATAAACTTTTAACTAAGCACAACAAGACATTTTAAACATTTGTTAGAAACAATCCATATGTAGAAATAGCTGATCTGAGTAAAAGACCATGTTCAAATGACAGGGATACCTTACCTTATCTGCATAAATTGGAATATCATGAAATGGAGATATATATTGTCCTTTTTCATTTTCTGCAAAATAAATTTAAAAGGTTATTACTGTGGTTATATTGCCAAATGCATGAAGTACACATTTTTGTTTTTATTTTATTTTCTGGTACTGGAGATTAAACCCAGCCCTTTTTTTATTTTGAGACAATGTCTCAATACGTAGTTGAGGCTGGCCTGGAAGTGATCTTCCTGTCTCAGCCTCTGGAGTTGCTTATATTAAGGACTGAAGTACATATTTTTGAATATCAAAATTTTATTCCCACATCCAAACAAAATAATCTAGTTGTATATTTCATTTTTCTTGAGCTTCCTCCCAGACTATTTTTACCCAATGCACTCTGTAGGCATGTAACAGGCAGGAACACCTATTACAAGAACAGGAACTGCCTTGCATCCCCTAAATCTAGCACTGCTTAGTATACAAAAGATGATCAATTTTTTTTTCTTTTACTCATCTTGTATCACTCACATGTATACATAACTTTTATAAAAAAAAACCTGGAGAAGGGCGCTTAGATGCTAAATTATAAATCATGTTGCTTTAAGTGATGTTTTAAGATGGCTATCTTAAATAATGGCTTTTAAGACTAATCAAGTTGCAACAACTCTTTGCAGCTAATTTCTAAACTCTAGAGACTCAACTATCCAAAAGTCATTTTTTAAAATGTCCCCAGGACTGAGGATGTATCTCAATGGTAGAGGACTTGCCTAGCCTAGCTGTGTGTAAGAACCTTCAAGCACCACAAGCAAACAAATAACCACACATACACCCTTTTCACTATTCTGTTCTTAGAAGATCTAACAGTCCATCCACATTGAATCTCATCAAGTTTAAAAAACAAAGTGGAACAGAAAAACTTGTGACTGTCCAGAATCCTGTAGGGGTCTCTTCAGAGTCAATTGTGACTTCACAGCCTTTCAGACCCTTAACAGTGTTGTGTTTTGTTTTTTGTACTGGGGATTGAACAAGGGGCACTTTACCACTGAGCTATAACCCATTTCCCGTCCTGTTTTTTGTTGTTGTGTTTTTTTTTTTGTTTGTTTGTTTTGAGATAGGGTCTAACTAAGTTGCTTAGGTCTTGCTAAATTGCTGAGGTTCACCTCAAACTTGCAATCTTCCTGCCTCAGCCTCCCAAATCACTGAGATTACTGGCAGGCACCATAATACCCAGAACACTTAGAAGTTTTAACAAATGTAACGTAAAGGTAAAAAACTTTACTTTCCATATTAAGGAAAGAAGCTAAGAAATCTAATTTACAAAAAGCACGTGAAATTAATTACATAGTTCTAGCCAGGCATGGTGGAACACACCTATAAATACCAGCAGCTCAGGAGGCTGAAGCAGGAGGATTGCCAGTTCAAAGCCAGCATCAGCAACTCACAGGCCCTAAGGAATTCAGTGTTATACCCTGTCTCTAAATAAAACACCAAAAGCGCTGGGATGTGGCTCAGTGGTTAAGTGCCTCTGGGTTCTATCCCTGGTACAAAAAAAAAAAAAAAAAAAAAATTACATAATTATTTCTTAAATTCTAGAGAGCTCCATTTTATAGTTTACTTTAGTCAGGGTGAACTACCTTAACAACCACTCACTCACTGTCAATACACAACCTAAGTAAAAACACTGTTGTCTGTTCTGCCTATGTAGTCTGAAGATAATTCTCAGTTGATCCCCTCACCTCGAAACCAGTCACTTCTCTAAGCCTATTCTATAGGGAAATTCTGAAGCCAACACTTCTCAGTGAACTATTAGCCAAAAATTCCAGCACTGTCCTGGCTGCTTAACTCTGACATTGAATAAAATGGGGAGTCCCACCCTTCCGGGATTTTATCTGATGGTTTAATCTTCAACTAGACATGTAAGCTTTAGGGCTCACTTTCCTTTTCCTTTCAAACCAGGCTACGTTTTGCCAGGTGCTTTGTTCATTCTTTCAGTACTCCCTTCCCTGCCCTTCATGCACTAACTCAAGAGCTCTCTGCACCTGCCCATTTCCTTTACATAAAACTGAAAAGAGGTTAAAATAGAAGCGACTTTGGTGACAGTTTTCTGACGCCTCCGTTAAAGCCATTTATCTATTCCTAGTATCTGAGGGTGGGAGGGTAAGATCAAGATAAATCCGGGTAGCTTTCCAGTACCAGCAAGGAATAAGGTGGTGCGCCCTGGCAACCTGCTCGCTTCTCAATGCAGGACTTGGGATGGGTATCCTAAGATGCCGACCCCGCACCCGAATATAAACTTGGCACTTGCTCACTCGTGTTCCCCAGATTGACGTCACCTGTCTAGCTGGAGCTGCACTCTTTCTGTTTCAGAAGGAGCATTCCTAGCATCAGCGCTACGGGAAAACACGCGGTGCGAGAGCCAGGAGAGCGAACTCCGAGGATGGGTCGTGCGTCACCCGGGTCTCAGTTTCCTAGTCCGTAAACGAGGACGACTACTTGACCCGGCTCAGCGCCTACAATCTGGGCTAGGGCGGAGGGATAAAGGTCTTCGGGCGGTCACCGCCCTCGGTCCCCGCAATCCTCTTACGGGGATTGTTTTACCTCCAGGCACCTTTCTAGGGTGACTCAGTGGATTCTTTCCCATCTGACCCTGCCGGAGCCCGAACCTGCAAAACTAGCCGGGCCCGGATGTGGGTCCCGCCGAGCAGGTTAAATGGGAAGCCTCCTCCGTCAAGAGGGGGATGGCCAGAAGGCGAATCTTGTCCCTCCCGCCAAGACGTGGGGACGCGCCCGAGGAGCCCGGCCCGCGCCGCAGACCAGGGGCCGAGAGCGGGCCGCAGCGAGGCCGGGAATGAATGGGCGGCCGGGGGGAGGGAGGCGGCGCAGGCCGCGAACACTCACTGAGGAAGACTCGGTACTCGAGGGTAAAAGGCGCCGCGCGCTCCTCGCTGCTGAAACCGCTCATGGTGCCGGAGACAATTGACCGCCACCGCCACAGTCAACCGCCTGCACGCGGCGCCGAATGACAAGGAGAGAGCTAGCGCCTGCGCACCGCGAAGGCTGGACCGCGAGCCGGTGGGGGCCGCCTTTAATGCGGCTAGGGTGGAGCTATCACCGCGCCCCCGCCCCGCCCATCCGCGCAGGCGCATTCCGCCCGCCGCGCGTCCGCACGCCCAGGCCACGCCCCCAGCCCCGCCTCCTAGGACCGCCTCCTGGCTCCGAGCCTAGGCCACGTGGCTGGTGCCTGCTGTGGCTCGGTTTGTCTCTAGTCGCCCGGCCCCTTCGCTCGTCTTTCCCAGCCGGGGCTTGGTAGAGAGTAAGAGCGCTAGCTCTCAGCCGAGGCCAGCTAGCAGTTGACCACTGATCTCTCCACCACGCACGCAGGGAGCTCACCTTTGACTCTCACGCCCCCCTGCAGAGCAATTTCTTATCTCCGAAGGCGATAAGTCACTTGCTTCCCAGACCTGCCCTGCTTGCTGTCTCTCTCTTTCTCTCTCCCTTCTTTCCTCTTTATCTTCATTCCTTTCCTCCTTTTCTTTCCTGAGAATTGAACCCAGGGACGCTTGACTACTTAGCTACATCCCCAGTGTTTTTTATTTTTTGAGATAAGGTCTCGCGAAGTTGCTGAGGGTCTCACTTAATTGAGAGGCAGGCTTTAATTTGAGATCTTCCTGCCTGAGCCTCACGAGTGGCTGAGATTACAGGCGTGTGCCACTGTGCCAGGCTCTGCTTGCAGCCTTGCTTTTTCTCCATATTTTAATAAAGTTGAAGGATATTATTGACATCTCTTAAAATGGCTACCAGGAAGGTACCCACTCCTCCACCTTCTAGGATATGATATTGCTCAAATTGCTTTTAACCTCCCTGTCTTCAGTTTCTCATCTGGCAAGTGGAGATAATAATAGTAATTATTTTATGGGTTGTTAGGAATGATTATCTGAGTGCTTGAAGCAGAGCCTTGCTCCTTATAAGCACGCAGGAAATGTAACATCATTCCTGCCCTCCGCAGTGAGGACAAATTTAGTGTGTCCTCCCAACCCCCCACCCTGAGTCTCCTTTCCCAACCCACCCTAGGTCCACAGAGACTTAAGATGGAAGCATTGGGAAGTTCCCTGCATGAGCTCAAAGTCTCTGGAGTACATTTATCTCAGGAATAGGCTCATCGGAGCTTGTTTTCCACGTTCTAGTCCATCGTGTCAGGCCAGACCCCCAAACTAAAGTCTATTGAGGCCAGAAGCAGATCTTTTGTTATCACTTTCCTAAACTTACATGGTAAAAAAAAAAAAAATCCTACTTATAATTTGAGAAATAATTTTTCATATTTCAAAGATTGCCTAGTTTTTTTTTGTTTGTTTGTTTTGTGATCCTGGGGATGGAACCCAGGCTCTTGCACATGCCATAAAAGCACTCCACCTCTGAGCTGCATTTCCTGAGCTGCATTTCCAGCTCCATGCATAGTTTTATTTTAAAAATTGATAGACAGCATTTCTTTTTGTTGTTGTTTGGTTGGTACCAAGGATTGAATCAGGGGCATTTAACCACTGAGCCATGTCTCCAGCCCTTATATTTTATTTCGAGACAGGGTCTTGTCAAATTGCAGAGGCTGGCTTTGAACTTGTGATCCTCCTGCCTCAGCTTGCCACGCTGCTGGGATTACAGGTTTACACCACCATGACCGCCTCTCTTTAAATAATATTGTTCTTCTAGGACATTAATTACCTTAAAACAATTTAATTTTTTTTCAAAACAATGTCTCATATAAAAGTTAGAAAACAAGTAATAAATGAAAATGAGATAAAATTCTAATTAGTGTCCCTGCATATTTGTCTTCAACTGCCAGCCCCTTTGACATCCATTAATTTTCAGAAGGCTGACCTCCCTGACCTTTTGAACACAACACCACACTGTTTTAGAACAAAAGGGCAAGGAAAAAAAAATAGTAGTGCAATACTTGAGTCAGTAACATAAGGAAGGTCTGAAAGTTAGAGAAATCTCTGCAGAGTGAGTAGTTAAGGAGGATCAAGTCTGAAGAATATTTGAAGAGGAGGTACCTTTGAACCGCTCTATTATTTTTCTTCCTTTGAACAGATGGTACCAATTATCTCAGAAAAACCCGGAATCTCATCTCCAACTGACTTATGAACAGACAGAAATGATGCAATAATAATGTGCTGCACACACTTTCCCTTTTGCTTCCTGCCAGCTCAGAGCAAGATAATAAAGTCTCACCGACCTCTGGACTTGCCCATGGGCTCTGGTTTCATTGAATATGCTCAGAGAGCCAATCAGTACCAACTCAATGAAACACCTAGCCCTGGTTCATGTCTCTTTCCCTAGCAGGCAAGGGTAGTGAGCCACACTAGCCAAGAGGTACTTGTTCTATTTCCCATGCCTCCCTTAGGGCTGAGCACAGTACCTGCCCCAGAGTAGATGTTTAATGAATGTTTGCCAGACCAGCAGATAGAAAATTCATAAAAAGAAGTATAAGAGAGACTGGGACCGTAGCTCAGCGGCAGAGCATGTGCCTAGCATGTTCAAGGCATTGGGTTCAATCCTTAGCACTATATACAAATAAAACAAAGGCATTCTGTCCACCAATAACTACAAAAAAAATTTTTTTTTAGTTAAAAAGAAGTATAAGAATATCAGTTTTCCAGGCACAGTGGCTCATGCCTGTAGTCCCAGCAGCTCAGGAGGCAGAGGCAGGAGGGTCATGAGTTCAAAGCCAGCGGAGGCACTAAGCAACTCAATGAGACCCTGTCTCTAAATAAAATACAAAATAGGGCTGGGGATGTGGCTCAGTGGTCAAGTGCCCCTGAGTTCAATCCCCAGTACCCCCCCCCGCCCCCGCCTCCACACACATACAAAGAACATCAGTTTGACCAAAGAAGAGTCCACCATTCTCAAACATTGTCTTTCTTGCTCTGTAACCAAATCCATTGTCACTTTTCAGTCCATGTCCTGTCATCTTTGCTGAGGGTGACTCTGTTGAGTACCTCCAATTTCCTGGCTTGTGACTGCATTCTCTTCTAATGTTTTGTTGTTGTGGTGGTGGTTTGACCAGGGATTGAACTCAGGGGCACTTAATCACTGAGTCACATCCCCAACCCTATTTTGTATGTTATCTAGAGACAGGGTCTCACTGAGTTGCTTAGAGCCTCTCTAAGTTGCTGAAGTTGGCTTTGAACTCTCGATCCTCTTGCCTCAGCCTCCCGAGCTGCTGGGATTACAGGCATGTGCCACATGCCTGAGTAGCTTTTCTCATGTTCTTTCTCCTTCTCTGGCCACTCATTCCTCATTCTCCCCTTAGCCTTCTCTTCATCTTACTCTTTGTCTTTCTTACTTCTGTTTCTAGAGACGCCCTCTTTCTAGATTATCTCATGTACATCTTTGGCACCCACTACCCCCTGTAGGTCCAATAACATGAAAACTTTCAGGTCTGTAAGTTTTATTTAATACATGGCCATGTTCTGTGCCAGGTGGTAGGGATATAGCACTTAGAAAAACATGGTTCTAGCCCTTCCAGAACTTAAAATCTAGGGGAACACAGACTACAACTATAATTGCAATAAATCTGGGTGAGTTCAGTGATAGAGGAAGTACAAGGCATTGCATTATGGAAACAGAGAGCCTCTTGGAAGAAGCGACCCTTAATCTATGACTTGAATTATAAGTAAGGATTAATAAGGTGAAGGGGGCAAGGCAGAAGCCAGAAATGGATTAGTAAGAGGTAAAGCTGGTGAAGTAATCTGGGATCAAATGGCAGCAGGCCTTGGAAGGCATGGCAGACTGTGGTCTGTAAAGGGACATCTAAGATGGATTTTTTAATGGGAAAATGACAGTCTGAATTGCTTTTAAAAGTCAGCATCTCAGAACCTGTTTTGATACTTAGCAAGACCCCGAGGCATAGAGACCAACAAGAAATCTGCTGCAGTGGCCCAAGGCAGAAAAGAACTACCCAAGAGCTGTGTTCTAGATGGAATTGATTGCTGATTGATGGAGGAGGTGACAAGAGAGATGGAAGTTTGAGGATGATTTCCAGGTTTCTGGCTACAACACCTGATGGAATGGTGTGTCATGTACTGAGATGATTGATCTGAGATGAAGCATGACGCTGCTAGTTGCCTGCCCCGAGGTTTTATCGCCCCCTCCTTCCTGATAGAATCCTGATTTCATTCAGGAGTGTTCTCCTCTGTGCACATCTTTGCTTCAGGGTAGCCAACCCCTGTTCCATCCTCAAGGAATGAGTTTTAAATAAGCTAAGAGAATCATGGTTCCCAGTGGTTTGTGTTCTGGCATGTTAAAGATACAGTTCTGTCTGGTGGGATGAAGGGAAAATTGCTAAAAGGGTTTCTGAAAAAGTACTTCCTTATCTTCAAAAGGGAATTCTTGGGCCAGGGTTGTAGCTCACTGGTAGTGCACTTGTACTGCATATGTGAAACACTGGGTTCCATCCTAAGCACCACATAAAAATAAATAAATAAAAGTATTGTGTCCAACTACAACTAAAAAATAAATATTAAAAAAGAAAGGTATTGTGTCCTTCTACAATTAAAAAAAAAAGAGGGGGGCTGTGGCTCAGTGGTAAAGCACTTGCCTAGCACGTGTGACTGGGTTCGATCTTCAGCACCACATAAATAAATAAAACAAAGGTATTGTGTCCATCTACCACTAAAACAATATATATTAAAAAAAAAAAAAGAGGGCTGGGGTTGTAGCTGAGTGGTAGAGTGCTTGCCTAGCAGGAGCGAGGAACTGGGTTCTATTCTCAGCACTGCATATAAATAAATAAATAAAGGTCCATTGACAACTAAAACATATTGAAACTGTTAAACTGAGGTTTCTGTCACTTGAAACCCAAACACCTTGGCTCAAACAGACTAATAGCCTGAAAAAGGAGTGGAATTATGATACATGCTATCGTGCAGGTGAAGCTTGAAGACCTTATGTTAAATGAAATAAGCCAGGTACATACTGTGGGATGTCCCGACCGGCAGGACATATCAACGAGGGCCGCGAACCTAGGTGGGGAGGAATGAAGGGACAAGAGACACGAGGGATGACAGCAAGACAGGAGTTCTGCTCAAGCT